AAGTGGCATTGTCTTGACTAAGGCAGGAAAGAAAGCTCATTTCCAAGTATGTATGTATATGTACACTGCATTGTCGCTGCTATTGTGGTTGTTGTAGTTGCTGTCGCTAAAATGCTGAAGTTTCGTTTGTTATACTTAGCTACACGCAATCGAACATTACACTGAATAAACAAGGATTCTTGGGAATCCACATACATACATACATACATGAAAAATATATGTATGTATTATATATGGTATACATATGTACATATGTGCGCTCATAATCTAGTTTATTGCGTTTTCTTGCTCTTGGACTTGCTATTATTCAACCGAAAAACCGCAACAGCAAGCAGCGCAACGGTGGCATGAAGTGAACGCACAATTTGTAAATGTTACGTATACGCCATGATGGCCCACACAATCACCGAGTATGTAGAATGCCAATACTATGTACATATAAATGTGTATGGAATGTTGCGAACGCTTTCGGTTGTTCGGGGTTCGCCTGCTCTTGTGGGTGCTGTCTTGGCGGCGATGTGCACACTTGGGGGATCTCGCTGGCGATTCATCACATTTGCCGAGATATGTACGAGTATTAGAAAAGTAACCAAAGTGTAAGTATGTATGTATGTATGTATGTACGAGTATGTATTTTTGTTTGATTGTGCGTGAATCCGCATTTGTTTGTGGCTTTTAATACGAATGGACAGACGACGTTAAGGGACAAGGGCCATAGGTACATATGGTGAGTGACTGGAATAGCTTGAATGACTTGAATTGCCGAAATGCGTCCAACGAAAGTGATTCACAGTCAAAGTTAATTTACGCCTAGTGGGTATATTGGTGTATGTGTGTGTGTGTGTGTGTGAACATGCAAACCTACGTACGTAAGATTATGCGAATTTATTTCCGATTTAATTTAAAAGATTTCTAGAAAAGACAAAAAACCGAATCTGCATTTCTAAAAGTTTGTGCGAAAAAATTAGTTTGTAAATGCTAATAAGTGGTCTCAAAATTTAAATTTCTAATGAAATAAATGAAATTTCAACTTTAAATATTTCTGAAGTGCATATGTACATATGTACATGGGTCAGGGTGAGAATATTCCTTTCCACTGATACCTCATAAGTTTAAATCCGTATAGTTTTTACTGAGTTATTCAAGTTTTTCTTAAAAGAATCTTTGAAAAAGGTAAAAAACAGCATCAAAAATCTTATTATTATGATTCCGTTGAATTTTTTTTTTTAATATTTTTATGCAGATTTTTTAAGCTTAAACTGTTTTGTCATCTGAGGGTATTTTTTTTTTTCAAAAAATCCTTTAAGAAACTTTTTTTTCATACAAAGCTCCTATTTTGGATGCACATATTATCAAATCGGTGCAGCTCTCGTAAATCTTAATATTATTCCGAAATATTTGGGTGGAAATCTTCAAATATAATACATTTTGTAATCCCGGCGGAAAACCAAAACTTTTTTGTTTGTGCAGCCTAATGTTCATACAAATGTTTTATTTTTAACTTTACTTTTTTAATATTTTTAAGTTAAAATTTGTGTGCTGATTTATCTGCTGGATTACCCTACATCTAAAAAAAAAAAACTTGGGCGTTTCCTATAAATTCGTAAAAGTAGAATAGAGAGAATATTGTACATACATACATTTACAATTTTTCTTAACCCTGCTTCTCCCAAAAATACTTGAATTATTTATTTAAAGACACAAAAAAAATTTTAGGCTAAACGTTTTTACGCTGACTTTTGAAGTTTTTTATGATAATATTTTGATTTTTTGTTTTTAATATTTTTTCATTTTTCCACTTAATATTTTTAAGTAAGTTGCTTTGTCTGCTTTTATGACAATTATTTTTCTTTTTCTCATTAAAGTATTTTTTTTTTCAGATAACGATTGCTCAATAGCAGCATAGTGGACTTCTGCATATCGAAATTAACCTTTAAATCACAAGAAATTCTGTGTTAGCTTTCAAATTAGAATAGTTTGAAAATTTCATGATTACAAAAATGTGGTTGTCCATCTTATCAGCATGAAATGCAATCTTAAGGTAAGTAAAAATTTTAAATATTCCATTACTACTTTTTCGACACTGAACTCATTCATGTCTCCAACATATTATTTGTAATATCCTTGGTTTCACACATTTCGAAATCAATTTCTATCAGAAGTTTCTAAAAAATTCTTATTCAGGACGATTCTGTACAGAAACTCCCTGGGAGTTTTCTCTCTTTTCCCTTTCCCCGTATCATGAATAAAAATTCCCTGAGGATTTTTTATATTAAATGGTGGAGTTGAGCTCTCAATAAAGTGTCAAACAGCTTTTTCGAGGTTCGAGTATCCTCCTCCCAAGTTTTCGGGGAAAATTCTACTACCTGGTAGTTAATTATTGGAGGATTTCTTTCTCGAGAGACATAAATTCCCGGAGAATAAATTGGGCTGATTAATTGTGAACCCTTTAGCTTAGAGATTTCACGAGAGATGCTATCCAAATTGGATCTAAAAAATATTTCATTCGCTATTCGAGAAGTGGGCAAATTTGTCTTAAGTAGTCGTTGTTGCATACATATGCATCTAATGTTGCATAGTTCTAGGCGCGTACGAAGCTAAGGCCTCCAAAACCCAGTTTTTGGCTTTTGGCTTCATTGTTTTTTTAAATATTTTATTTTGGTTTTTTGAGGTTAGAAAGCGAAAACAAGCCATCTTTTAAATTCTCACTTCGAATTCGGACGCAGAGATACAAAATCGTAATCGGTAAACGTTGCCTAATCTGTGAGGCTGTGTGATCGATAATTTCTATGAAATTTCGTTCAAGAATCGATTTTCACCCGATTAAACGATAACAAATTAATCGATGTGTTTTATAATAATAATAATAATAGATTGGCGCTTACACATATGTTAGTGTTTGGCCGAGCTTCTACTCCGATTTGTGGCGTGCGCCTTGATGTTGTCACACAAAGCGGATATCTATATGTATAAGGCAAAACCGTATTTAGCTCTTATTTAAAATTTTACTGCCACGCCACAACCTACGCCCGCTGTGTTGCACCAGAATTTTATAAATAGCTCTCAGTTAACTGACTATTGAATGGAACTGTTTTGCATAGATTTATACAAAAATATAGATATTTGTAGAAAGTAGATATATTTATGCAATTATAACTGTTGTATATTAGACCGGGTCGGCCTCCATACAAAGGTAAAAATTTGGAAAAGAAAAATTTGGTAAATCGAAATTGGATTTCGCAGCCATACAAATTTTCGTCCTGTCGATTTGCAAAGACAGCCAAAATGGAGTTTTTTTTTGTAAACATTTTACTTTTGCAACGATTTAAATCATGATAGATATACTACGTTTATACGCATGCATAAGTCGCCTTAATTCATTTCGCCGCGATTCAAAACATATGTGTAAACTGAATTTCAATTCGCTTTGAAAGAGCGAAGTGTTTTGGCGCACACTCCATTTCAAATCGGTAGTTTAATTCTCCAGACAGTTAGAAAGAGTGTATAAACACCGCTCTCACTCAAAGCGAATTGGAGATCAGCTGTTCCGCTCAAATTCCAAATAATCGCATCAGTATTTAAAAGCTGATTAATAATAATCGTTCTTTTTCTTTGCCACGATTTTATAATGCNTCATAATAATGTCAAATGAAAACTGCTGATTTTGTTTGCTTTTGAAGACGGTTACTTTGATGCCGCTATAAAGCCGTAAGTATAGACACTAGAGCGAAATGTGTACGGTGTCAATGCGCTTTCATTTAAGTCGATTATTCTGTGCGTATAAACGTAGTAATAGATATTTTTAATATTTTTTTATTGAGCTTTGTACCACGATTGTTTATTAGGAAAAATTGAAAAAGCAACAAAGTCTAAGCGGTAGGAGTTATAGCACTATTTCGGAGATCACCACATCTCCTCATCAGACTTCTTTTTTCTAGACTTCAGCAGGAATCGAACCTGCGAATTCGATGTTCAAAGTCAGAAGCGTTAACCACTGAGCTATGTACATCCCGTAAACTCTTGTTGCTAATTCATTTTCCTTATTCAACCAACTACTATCAAGTGCAGCTGATTTGCCGCTATTTAAACTCGACAGCGTGGTTGTTGTTGTCAATTCTATACATCCATTTGCTTATTTGCTTTTTTGTATAGTTTCAGGCAGGCTCTTCCTAAACTATGTATTTGTCAATNTAACAAGCCACAATAACATTGACAAATACGTAGTAATAGATAGTTTAAAATATATTTTTGAGTACTTATCTTGAAAAAATGCATAGCATGCATAATTTTATGGTAACTAAATTTTGGCTGAGTCGGATAGAAATTGAAATATGTAGGATTTAAAAGTTTATATTGTGCTTAAAAATTGCTTTTAATCGATATGTCATACCTTGAAATCGGATTACTAGTAAACAAGTTATGACTAGATTTCACGTTTGGCTATTCTTAAGGCCAAACTTCTCTCAAAGTAAGCATTTACAAAAAATTGTTTTCGCGACCCAATCTACTATATACATATGTAGCATGTAATATCTAATAGCGTGGGCCGAAAATCCGATTTTTTAGACTTTTGATTGGTAATAGCAAAAATATGGTTCATTATGCTCTAAAATAAATTTGTGGGAAATGTGAACATTTTTGGCCTAGGATGGCTGGCTCGCCCAAGTCCATCAAAGATCAAGTAATAAAAATATTTTTTTAGCTAACTTCGATTCTCCACAAAAAAGGTCCATATACCAAATTATGTAGGACTAATACTTTCGAAGATTATTGCAATTTTAGCAAAAAAACGTATTAATTAATTAATTTATTAATGTTTATTTTTTGAGCATATTGAACTTTGATGGACTTGGGCGAGCCTAGGATATTGACCAAAAAATACCAAATTTTACACAGATTTTTTTAAAGCATAATGAGCCATATTTTTGCTATTACCAATCAAAATTCTAAAAAAGCCGATTTTCGGCCCACGCTAATATCTAAATAAAGTTTTTATTTACCCTTTCCGTTAATTGCAGCAAATCCGATGGCTTCATTGTGGTCGTCGTCGTCGTCGTCAGTGCTGGCTGTTGAGTGGTCTTTTAGATTGCAATCCGGCTGCTGTAGCTGTCGCTGTTGTTTGGCGGTTTGTTTCTTTTGATATTCCGCCTCTTCTTTTGCTTTAGACGCTTTGTTGTTGTTACTTTATTGTTATTTCTTTTTCGTTTGACTCGTTAGTTGCAATATCCCAGCCAGCGATCCAAAACAATCAATAGCCAGAGGTGGTAAAACGTCCCACAGCAAGAGACTAACTGCTTTTAGCTATTTTCGCGTTGTTATTTTTATGATTACTATCACTGCTGTTGCTTCCACAATTATCTCTGCTTAGTCTATCACGCCTAAGCTTTTTATAGCGCCGGCTGCTTCTACTCTGTGTCTGCTCTGCCTTTGCACTTGTATGCCTACTGGTCTAGTTTGCGACTACACCTGCACCAGCTGTTGTCAGTGCCTCGCCTTTAAGTTTAACTTGGTGTGTAGTATGTACGTGTTCACTTTAAATTGATTTTATGTGCAGTTGGCGACGTCATTGGCCTCGTATTCAACAGTTTTTCCAAGCTTCAGGTGCAGAGTATGCGCCTGCTACCACGACCACTGCAGCTGTGATGACGACGGCGTGTTGCTGGTTGGTGTTGTTATTGTTTGCTGTTAATGCTTCTGCTACTTTTACGCGTGCTTCCACTGCAACTGTTGGTGGTTTTTTTTTTTATGGTTGGAGTTGTTACTGTTTTTGGTTGTTATTATTCTTTTTTTTTGTTATAGCATTCGTTGGCTATTTTGAGCCTTAAATTAATCATTTTTCATATCGTTGCCGATTCCTAATGATTTTTTATATATTTTACTTTATGTTTTCACGTTAACTTTTTGCACGTTAAATCAGATTAAAAGCTGGAACGGACAGTAGGTTGTAAAGGAAGACTCTACATACATATTTAAGCAGGAAGGAAATTATAAGAATGCTGATAGTTTGTAAGATTTCTCCGAAGATGTCAAATGGCAAAGCAACGAGTATTAGCATGAAAAAGTTGTAGAGAGTGAGAGTTACTTAGAGAGCAGTAGCTTGCAAGTTGATGAAGAGTTGCCCCTTTTCATAATTACTTTACTGGCCAAAACTTGATAAATTGCGTAAGCCAACTGACTTCTATAAACTTAGACATTCTATACTAATTTTGATTAACATATCAGCAAGGATGCATATCGCTAGCTTAGAGTGAAATGTTGCTAAGTCCACTTTTTATGAACAATTTAGTTTTTGGTGCAGGAAGCAAGGAAAATTGAAAATGCACCGTTTCTGAAAGGATCTAAATACTTGTTTTATTTCTACCCGTTTTATTCCGTGATGTGCAAAATTGCTAAGTCCACAGTAGTCACAGAAAATTTGATAAGTCCAAAAAAATATGAATATTTTTTTTACGCTATCGAATTCGATTTGTATTGAGGGTTGTGCAACAACATTATTTTTGAATATTTATGTACATATGTATGTATGTATATTAGGCTGGGTCGATTTTGTATGGGGGAAAATAAAAGGCATTTGACCGTATTGTAATAGTAATATTATGAGGTTTTAGGTCTAAGCCAATTGTTATTGGCCAAGAAAGATTAATTTAAAACTTATCTTTAGCCCGCGCAATTGAATCAAAGTGTATGAATTTTGAAAATGAAACTTTGGCTTGTTATATCTATGGAATGCGTTAATTGTTATAAACAGGACGATATATCAAATTAAGGGTTATTAAATTTAGCACCTCACGTTCATTTATCATTTTTCAATAAGTCTACAAATTTTTAAGATATTAAAATAAAAAATAAGAAAACTATAATTTTCCCTTATGAATTTTCAATTCTTCATTACTTCAGCAACCAAGCGAAAAATCCAAAAAAGTGAGACGAGATTTATTTCAAACGTTTTAATGCTTTCGGATGTTTATATAATATTAAAAGGGCCGTGGACTTGGTACGCCTATTTGGTCAGTTTTCAAGATCATGGTGAATGAAGTCAAACATGTATTGTCCAAGATTAGGAATCGTTTGATAAGTTAATAGTAGTTGCAAGCATAAATATAATATTTGCATACATTAACATAATATTTGCGAGAACTTTTAATCCATTCGTGATTTATAAATTTTAATTTATGAAAGTAGGGGACGTGCAAAAATGTTCTAATTTAGTTAATTCCATTATGTGAAAAAGTAACTGTAGGTAGGTAAATGCGATAGTCTTTAACATATCCTGGAAAATCCTTTTGAGGTCTCTCCAATTGGACGATATTGCTTTGCATTCAGCTTGAACGAAAAAAGTCACTCCCTGGCATACTTTTCGGTAATCCGGTTCTGTCATTTAAATGTTATTTATAAAATGGAGGATTTTTTTTTTTTAGAAAAAACTGGAGATCCACTTAAGTTTTTCGATATAACTTTGATAAACGTTACTCGATCGGCACGTAATAATTACGAGACTTGCTATTACTGATTTATGATAATAATATGATGAAAATCATTCAGATTATAAAGAAATTATTTTAAAATAAAAAAAAAAAATATTTAACAAAATTTTTTGTCATTTTCCTATATTTGCAATTTTTATATTGTATGCATAAACATAAGTAAACTAATTAGTGTTTCTAGAAGTTGTGCCTGTTCAGTGCTTCCATACTCATTTGCATAAACAACATTTTTCCACGATGATGGAAAATAATGGCTTTTCTATTAGAGCTACCGAAATTGTTCCTAAATTTGCAAAAATTCGCAAACTATAGCTAATATTAAAATAAGATTAGAATATTTAGAACCAGCGACCTAAATGCACGCCAGCAATATTAATGCTGTTCTTTACAACTTTTGACTATAGGCCAGTGCAATTATCAAGAGAACAATTAAAATTTGATTGAAAAGAGATAACTTTGAGATTAACGATAAGCTAAAGGGCTGCGAGAAATGATATTTGACTTTATCTTTTGCGTTAACGGATTCATTATCTAATAATATGCCCCAAACCTTTTTGCTGAACCCAGAATTTTTAACAATTTTTTGGTCTTATTCGAAAACAGCTTTAACATTTGATGCACTGTTCCCTTGTGTTATTATTATTATTAAAAAAAACCTAAACAATTTGTTCTAACAAATTGTTTCTTAAAATGTACCTACGAGATGGATTTTTTCGTATTGTACATATTGTAAAAATTCATGGAAAATTTGCTACTTCCAACAAAAAAATTTTTGGGAAAAAAGTAGAAAATTTGCTAAGTCACAAAATTATTTACAAAATTTGTAAAAAAGCAGATTTTTTTATTGTTTTTTTTTTTTAATAAAGGGTAAATGAAAAACGCGAAACATTGTATTCAAAGTTTTGCAAAATACTTAAAGAAAATTACTTAGGAACGTTTTTTGTGTCTCCTGTACAATTGAAAAAAATTGACTTAGCAACTTTGCACTCTAAGCTAGCGATATTCTAAAATACAAAAACGAGACTCGATAATTATGCATATCGTCGGTGATACTACAAAACGGACTATGTTTATTAGTACCCTTGACACTTAGATGGTCTCTTACCTGCACCGGAATGCAGCTGCAAATCGTTACACCCTAATAAACGAATGACAAAACTGTCTACCTTTGGCTGAAAAAGATGAACGATCGCGATCAGATACAGATAACAGATCAATTAAGCACCAGAGGTAATAAGTGGAATAGAACATTTTGCAGTATCACCGTGATATATTTCGATTAGATGTCTATCGATAAAGCTTTCGAGGACTCTTTCAAAATATCGACGAATAAATCGGTAAAAATTTCATTAAAATGTGGATCATGATATTTGATAATTATGTAGATGACAGTTTTACTAAATATAATGGCTCTAATGAGAATCTTACCCAAAGTGATTTAAAGTCAGACAGCATTGAGAACAATTTTCTCTAGCTGTGAAGTGTTATATTGGGTATACCAAGACACACTATAGAATTATTAAGAAAATTTGGAAATTTTGGAGAATTTCCAGTACACCGAAATAGTCAACGACTTCTGGACGTTACTTGGCAGCATCCGTCACCTCAATCTCAATCGTGCCGTCACCTATTCAGTTGCACGATATTTTTATGAGACGATAGACTAACAGGTCTATTCTGCGCTGGTAATAAAAAGTTTGTAACCGGTAAATAAAGTTCTTGTAAATTTTTAAACCCTTTTCGCATTCTGTGTACTCTTGTAACCGGTAAATTTTGTTGCCATCTCATAAGCTGGTAACAAATTATTGCCCCGTGAAATATGCAATGCCGGGATTTGCACAATTCTTGATAGCTGAATTGCTGAATATTTTAACTGCATTACCAACGTACCTAGAATCGCGGTGACAAGAACTGGTAACATTTTTTGGTAAAACAATTTTCCGGTTACAAAATCTTCGGTAACGTGCAGAATAGATCTGTAAAGGTTGTGGGTCGTCTAGAACTCAGAATTTATGGTATGCGATTGCTCACGTATTAAGTATGTGTAAGAACTCATATACCTTGGAGAGCTTTAGGCTAGGATGAATAATGTCCAAACAAGGCTCTGAAAAAGACATTTAAGAAGTAGACAAAAAGTTGGGTTAACTTTTCTGTTGCAGTATGGGAGATAGGCAATTATTTTATTTAGGATGCAGAAGTTTGAATAATGGCAACATTTGATGAGACGGGTCATGCTGGCTGTGCAGAAGAAGGAGATTTACAATATTTGTAGAGAGAACTTACATAGATAAGTAGGTTAATGTTGAATTTGCCTGGAATAAGGAGGCGATTAGAAAGCCAATTATAAATTAAATTTTTTCAAAAGCATCGCAAAACCGCAAGAATGTAACGATACGGTAACACCATAAAGAGCATATATGCATATATAGTGTATCAGGGAAGTTGAAAGCAAATGAGTAAGTAAAATGGCTACGAAGCTTTCACACACGCACGCACACACTATGGACCCTAAAAAAATCGTCAAAGGAAGAGAAGGAAATGACAGTACACCATCAAGCAAAGTACGAGCACAACAAACGGAAATGGAACACAATGCCAGAGCGAAATTAGCGGATACAATGAACTTGAAACGCTACACACAAGCACAGTGTCGAATGGCGACTAGAGTTGAGACAAGAAAAAGGATAACAGCTGCGGATAAGTAAAGTGAAAGTAAATTAAAAAGTGTAGAAAAAGGGGAAAATTGTCTGGAATTAAAAAATGATCGTAAGATAAAATATTATACGGGATTGTAAATTAGACAAGGCAATCGAAGAAAATTTGGTTTAATAAAATATGCTGCAAGAAAGCGATTAATTGCTTATATATATATGTACATAGTATTTGCATACGAGTGTGTGTGTATGTGAATTCGTCATGGATATACCAATGTACTTCGTTTCAGTTCACCTGTTCCCAATGCTGTGCGCGGTATGACAGGAATCTTCGGAGCTTTTTTTTCGTTCCAATAAGGACTACTAGAGAGAGCACAAAAATGTCCAACACTCGCATGTGTAAGAGAATGTGAGTGTAGATGAAGTTATAGGCACAAATACAGCTGGGAAAACTGCAACCATTCATGGTGACCGTTCAGTTAGTGCGCTAATAGACACCAACGAAATGGTTAGATTTGACAACGACAACCCGAAAGCTAAAATTCACCAACCAACCAACTGAGATGTGGAAATAGAAACAGCAGACAGTTAGTAGCAGCAGTTAGTCGATTAGCTGGTGTATCTATATGCGGTTTGTTTTAATGCCTTCTGTGTAGAAATTTCTGCGTTTTGTAATTCGACGCTGGGCAATAATTCACAAAAAAAAAAAAACAATTAATAAATGTACATACTCCAATTAAATACCTAAATGAAAATCTCCTTAAATATGAAAACTTTTCCAGCAAACTTTTAAAAAGAAAAAGAGCAAAGTTCGGAAGATATCTTCTTTGATTTCCTTAAATTTTTCTCCCCCACAACGGTGGTCGATTGCAAAGTG